CTTCATCTAGGGGATTTCCCCCAAACCTACACAAAGGCAAGAGGTAAGCACTGTCACACCTCCTTTTTACACCCCGAGGGAGGGTATATGGGAGTTTTTTCAATTAAAGTGACATTATTCAAAATAGGATTATTTAATTTATCAGAGTCGCCACTTGGAATAGTTTATTTGGTGTCCCATTCACCGGTTTATTTTAAAATCCCAAATCGAGGAAATTTTTATTTTTTTTAAAAGTCCGCGAACCAGAAATTCTACATAAGGAATTCTGTTAACCCGGGAGAAGGTGTTAGCCATTCCCGGGTTCTGTGGTTCTAGCAAGGTTGCTTAAACTGTTAATATTGGCCTATTTTCTGATTAATTACTTGTTTTAAACCTATTGTGTATTTTAGCTTTATAACTGTCTTCTAATTATTTTAACCGCTTTTAGGATTTATGGAATTATTTCTTGAACAAGTTACAATTATCGTACACTTGTCGTTTTGGAACACACCGCAAACCACGCTACATGAAATGCACCCGCGATTCGCGATATGTTTATTTTTGTTATAATTCGAAGTTGGTATGATCGGGTCACATGAAATGCACACCCAAATTGGGGATTACGTATTACGACTATACCACGGGAACCGTACCCATATCCGTGATGATTTAAAATTAATCGGGCCTAAAGCAAGTTATTATATTCATAATTATTGCTTAATCTCCTAACATCTCGATTAATTGTAAAGAGTCAGTGAGTTATGAGAGATTTTGATTAGAGAGGCAGTGTTAGTCTATTACACCCATTTTTCAAACAATTCAAGAACCAGACATAAAACTTGACTGAGACAAAGATATTCTACATGATTTAGCAACAAAAAATAATAGAGAACTCAATTCACACTTATTTTGCAGAAGCATTGGTTCTTGGTTAAAAAGAATTCTAAGCAATTCAAAGGAGAAATTTTACAACTAGATAGACAAATTAAGCATGCAGAATTGCATTACAAGGAAACAAAAAGTCAGAGCAAGCAGGACAACTGTAATTCTAGTAAGATCCTCAACTATTCATCTTAAGTTTGACATAATATGTATTTATTTAGAGAGGAAAATTAATACGATATCAAGCAAAAGGCACATACCATGGTTGAGCCAAGAAAGTACTAGACCATGAAATATGAAGCTGAAAATTCTGGAGTTTCTCCCTTTTTATCAATATTATGAAACTTTTCCAATGTATTGAGAAGAAATCCCAAATAAACCAACCAATACAATTGTAAATCTCAAAACCCAATGCAAACGCAGAGAAAACATATGTGAAGCTAAAGGATGCGGAACTCGGATGACCTCGATATCCGTGTTTTTTACGAAAAAATTGCTCTCAATTTTGCTTTAATCTCCATTTTTTGTTCCTTTCCCGATCTAGCATTTTCTTGTTTTCCCCCTCTCTTTCCTTTTTTAGCTTTTGCTTTTTGTCTTTTCTCTTCTCTTGTGACTCCCTCCCCTCCAAATTTCGTTCCAGACCTAGAAAACGTGAATAAGTGAAATCAAAATTCAAATGTTATAGCAACATGAGAAACAAACTAGGAGATAATCACATATTCAAATAATAACAAGTGAATATGCTAAAAAACCATCTAGAATTACACATCAAAAACTAGATCTGAAGGCATTTTAAGGAATACATACCTAGCTGCACAAAGTTCAAATTTAGAAAAGGAAAAAGCCGAGTAAAGGCCGACATCAGAAATCGGAGCTAGCAACGCAGTGAATCAGCAGTAGAGCAGCAAAATTTCAGACCCATGAAATCAACTTCCACAACTCGTACAAACCAGAAAAGGAGGAGTTGAATTTCGAAATTAAGTTTTCTTCAATCTTCTTTTAGAAATATCAGTTCTTCTTTTGGTTTTTTCAGCTTTGTGATTTTCAGATCTTCATTTGAAACCTTAGCTTTGTTTCAGCCGTTTGTTTAGAGAAGGGGAAAGCTGGTAGCGTTTCTTTTTCAGTGGGAGGGAGTAGAAGTTTTTGAAGCAGCCATTTTTGGCTGAAATCGATTTTCCAAAGAAATGGGGATCTGATTTTGAGGGAGATATGGGGAGTCCCTATGGTTTTTTAAGGAAAAAACAAGAGAAAGAAGAAGGGAAAGGGAGCTGCCTAGAGCTGATGGAAATGGAGCCTCTTTTAAGGGGTGAGGAAAGATTTTTTTCTGTCTAAAAATCTGATCTCTACATAGGTCTAAGTCTAGGTTTTAATTAAAAGGGTAAGGAGTTTGGGTAGGTTAGAGAAGTGGGCAGGGCATTTTTAAGGGAACTGGGTCATGCAAATTGGCTCATATCCGAATTTAGACCCAAAATGGCTTAATCCCCCTTTTCTTTCCTTGTTTTCTTTTTCTTTTCTTTAATTTTAAAAATCCTAATTCAATTAATTAAATCCTAAATTAATCTATTTTTGTGGAAATTAAAATTCTTTATCTATTTCTAACATTAAACAACTAATTGACTTAAAACTAAATAATAATGCTAATTTTCAAGACAAAAATCTAAATATGTAAAAATGACCATTTTCGTAATTATTTTGCTTAGTAAAACTAATTCCTACATGCAAATGAAACTAAGATGGGAAGAAATTAAAACGTGACAATTTTATGCTTTTTTCTATGATTTTAAAATTATTAAAAATGCATGAAATGCAACTAAATAAAGAAAAATCCTAAAAAATTAAAATTATTTTGGTATATTTATAGGAGTTATTTTCATGTAGGGCAAAAATCAGGTGCTCACAGTTGCCCCTCTTTGCTTAGAAAAATAAAGAGTTTTCCGACAAAGATAAAGTGAGCAATTACGAGCAATTTTTTCCCGTTTGAAACTCCATTTGGAAGTATTTTGAAAAGGTTTGACCGAACCTTGTTTCAGAGGTTGCCTACATATCCTTGACTATAAAAGAATCAGGTCGATGTAGTTCTGGAAGTTTTGGTAGCTGGGACTACCGAAGAGCTGTGATTTCACTGTTGTTGCTGCTGTTTCTGCTTGCTGAGCTCCTTATTCCACCAAAATGATAAATGAAAATCTAAACTAACTAGGCCTATCAACTACGAGTTACAAGATTCCTATCTATAAACCTTCTAAAGCTTGATCTTGAGTCTTGGCTGGTTCTTCCTGCAGACTCTGATCCGAATCTTGATGCTCGTTAGCTGCAAACGCTGGTTCATTTTTCTTCAACTCTTCGGATCAAGGTGAGACATGCAAAGCTTGTGACTTCAATCATATCTTGGGCAGTCCGCATCTTTTCTCGTTTCTGCACTTAGAGTTCAACTTCTTTTCTTGTTTTTCTTTTCTTTTATTTGGACTGAGACTTCTTCTTTTGGTCATCTCAAACCTCGTGCATCATGGTAAAAAACCTATTCAGTTACCAAAATAAACAAATGAACAAAATATTTCTGCCCCAGTTTTCACTAGAAAAAATTCGTGAGTTATTGCAACAAAAATCTAAACTATTTCTTTATTGCAAGCAAAAAAAATCAGGATTGTGTATCCTTGAGGAAAAGAGATTAGGGAGCGGAGACCCTATATCTAAAATGAAACCAAATAGGGGGAGGCCCTAAGTTGGAAAGATTACCAGGTTATGCTGGAAAAATGACCGGGTTATGCCGGAAAGGTCCTTGGGTTATGCCGAGGAAGGACATCGTGTTATGCCGAAAAAGAAAAAAGGTCCTTGAATTATGCCGGGGAGGTCCACGAGTTATGCCGGGAAAGTCATCGGGTAATGCCTAAAAAGAAAGAGGTCCTCGGTTTATGCCAGGGAGGTCCACGGGTTATGCCGGAAAAGTCATCGGGTTATGTCGGAAAAAAAAGGTCCTCGGGTTATGCCGAGGAGGTCCACGGGTTATGCCGGAAAAGGTCCTCGGGTTATGCCGGAAAAGGTCCTCGGGTTATGCCGGGGAAGTCCACGGGTTATGCCGGGAAAGTTATCGGGTTATGCTGAATAAAGAAAAAGGTCCTCGGGTTATGCCGGGGAGGTCCACGGGTTATGCCGGGAAAGTCATCGGGTTATGCTAGAAAAGAAAAAGGTCCTCGAGTTATGTCGGGGAGGTCCATGAGTTCTGCTAGGAAATTCATCGGGTTATGCCGGAAAAGTCATCGGGTTATGATGGGAAAAAAAGGTCCTCGGGTTATGCTGGGGATGCCCACGGGTTATGCTGGAAAAGAAAAGGTCCTCGGGTTATGCCGGGGAGATCCACGGGTTATGCCGGGAATCAACTAGGGAGTAAACCCAGTAACGGAAAAGACTACCAGGTTATGCTGGGAGAGGTCCACGGGTTATGCCGGGAGAGGTCATCGGGTTATGCCGGAAAGGTCCTCGGGTTATGTTGGGGATCAACTAGGGGGTGGAACCCTATGTTGGAAAGATTACCAGGTTATGCTGGCATCAGTTAAGGAGTGGGACCATATGTTGGAAAAGAAGCAGCTAGGGATTGGAGACCCTATACTACCATGATTTTAAATTTTTCTTCTTTCTTTTCATTTCTTTTTTTCTTTTTCATTTTCATCATCATTTTTGTTTTCTTCTTTTTTTTTTCAAAGAATGAGTCAATACGGGAAAGAATTTTGGAGGAGACTTCCCTTTTGGGTTGTTGTTGCAAAGCTATTTCTAACCCTTGCGCGGTTTCTTTTTGGTTGCACGTGCTTCTGGCAAGGTTGCTTTGGATTGCACATGTTTCCTGTATTTCAAACAAATAATGATTTGTTAGTTTGAAATGGTGGTTGGTTTTGTGTCCTTGAGCGTTTCAGTCATTTGATTTCGGCTTGGCTTCTTTGATGAAGATTTCAACTGCAACTGCTTGTTCCTTGAGGACCGATTTCATTTCTGACCCCGGAGAACCTCTGATTTTTTCAGACTCTACCATGACGATTGGTCGGTGGGACTCAACCTTATCGACTTTATTTTGCCTTCGTAGGCCTTTCCCTTCTGACTACTTTTTCTTTTCTTTTTTATTTTTCTTTTTTTTTCTTTCTTTTTTTTAACTTCGGAGCATCGGGGAACTTTTGGCTCCTCAAACTTTTCTGCAACGGCTAGTCGCGTGGGACTTAACCTTTTCCAATTTTATTTCGCCCTCGTAAGCCTTTCATTTCTAGCTTCTTTCTTCCAACTTCAATTTCAGAGCATTTTGGGTGCCTTGGCTTTTCAAACCATTGCCAAGACGGTTAGTCACGTGGGACTTGACCTTTTCAACTTCATTTGCCTTTATAGGCACTTCAATTTGACTTTATCCTTCCAAGAGTTTTGATTTCGGAGCATCGGCCGCCATGGCCGGTTGAGGTCGACTTGATGCCCCTGACGAGGCTAGGTGACTTTCTACGTATTAGCTTGTATCAAATGAGAACCCTATAAATCAGTCTTACAATCCTTTCTTTGTCTTAGTTTCGGAATAGAGTTAGACCGAAAGGGATTCAAAGAAAAACAAGCAATGGAATGGAGAATGAGTTTAAACAAGATGTGTCCCTTTCGGGGAAAGGAAAGAAGGACTTATCTGAAACACATGCGGACTTCAATAAACATAACATGCCTTTTGGACTAGATGCCTGATCTGTGTAAACCGTCCGACTCTCAAAAATTCATCACAACTTTGCCTTGAAGTTGAGGAACCTTGCCAGGACTCTGTCAATGCTGATGGTTGTGAGGATCCTCTTTTCGATCAGCGGCACCTTTTGCGGGTTTTCAACACCTGACCTCTCCTATTTCACTTCTCACTATCGCCTTATAGTGCTCTTTGCGAGTTTTCACTAACAAGACTCTCGTTTTTAGTTTCTCTGCTTACCTTCGCCTTACGGTGTCCGTGTGGATTTTCACCAATAAGACTCTCTTATTTTGATTGCATCGGATCCAAGTAGTTGTATTCTGCGATGCTTGAACATTCTCACCAATCAATTGGAAGGACTTGAAAGGATTTGGGTAAAAATGATTTGGATTGAATTACAACTTTGGAACCATTCAGGCGGGATCATCGCCGAACCATTGTAACATCTGCCCAAGTTTCACTTTGGATTTTTGTTTTGGTGTGACTGAACCCCAGAGAGAGGCTGCCTACGTATCCTTTCGGAATCAAGTTGAACGTAGTTCAGGGAAACTTTGTTTTTTATTTTCTTTTTTTTTCTTCTGTTTTGTTTTCTCGTTCTTTTCCTTTCCTTTTTCTTCTCTTTTTTCATTTTTTTAATTTCTTTGTCTTTATTTTCCTTTTTTTGTATCTTTCTTTTTCTTCTCTTTTCATTTTTCATTCATTATTTTTTCAATAATAACTTCCAGGTTCCAAAGAGGGTAATCAAGGAATGGGAACCGACTCAAAGGGTTTGCAAGGGGTTGAATATTTGGATCGTGAGAAAGAAAGCCTTCTTCATCCCAACCGGAGAACATTAATGTTGTGTAGAAGATCCAACATAGTACCTTTGTCTGCATTTGCATTGACAGTTGTTTCAGGGACATTTCTTCGATGTGTCCCAAGTACAACGCTCTCTTTTGGCAGTATTCTCATTACCATGTATAGACCTTTCCAATCTGGAACCAATTTTTCTTCAGCTATTGTAACTCTTTGTTTTATTTCCATAAACTTATCTTCATTGCAACCTAATTCTTAATTCATTATTTCGAGGTCGGATAGCATTTCAGGATTTTGGGCATGAAGTCCGCAAGCATGTCATGTTATTGAAATCTACATTTAACAGAACTGAAAAAAGAATAAGAAAAGTGACAAGATTAAGAAAAGAGAATTCCTGGATAATGAAATATTAATTTCATTTGATGATTTTTTTTATTTTTGATTTTTTTGAATTTTAAAGATAGAAGGGTTTACACCGGAAAGTAAGACAATAAAGTAAAACATCCGGATCATACCTTGAGATAATCCGGACACAGAAAGGATAGCAAGACTAGCTACCGAGATTCCCGTCTGATAGGGAACATTCAGGCTTGGCGACCGTTTTTGGCTTTTCGTCTGTCTCGGCAATGACTGAAATGGCCTTAAGTGCCAGATCGAATTCCTCATTGTAAGCAGGCAACGGATTGTTCGTCACACCCGGAGCCCCTTCGTCCTGAAGAACTATTCTTTAAACATCGATCAAATCTTCAATTGCCCTTTTGAGAGTCCAACAGTCCTCTATATTGTGTCCCACTGCTCCAGAGTGGTATTCACATCTATCATCAGCTCAGCGCGAGAGGGACTTGGGTTTTGGCCGATTTGAGGCCACTGGCTGCAGCAGACCTCGCCTAACTAGGTTTTGGAACAAGCCCAAGTATGATTCACCAATAGGGGTGAACTGATTCCTTTTGAAAGGCTCTCTTGGGCGAGGATTGTCCTGGGCAACATTTGATTGAGGATTATATGGAGCTTGGTAAA